TATGGGCAATTCTTCATAATAATATTGTTTACTAACAAACTGAACATCTTAAGAGATGATACTTTTATGTCAGATTAGTTATAGTATCAGTATGTTTTTACTAGTCTGTAATAAAAATTGAAAAGAAATTGAAAGTATGTCCTACCATCTGTCAATTAGATGTGTCATTTTTTAAGATGTATCAGTTTTCTTAATCAGTGCATCTAAGCAAAGCATGACAAAAAAAGAAATTATAAACATTAGGTGGCTTTAAGTTGGCAGTGACATTATGCTGCCAAGTACTTCACTCACATCGCTTATTTATTTTTCACCATACCTAAAATGCTAACCATCTTGGTACTCTACACCAAACAGAAGTCACATTCAATATTGGAGGCAGCCACACTTCAGAGTGACTACCACATGTAACAATCAGAAACAAAGGGAACCTAATGTTTACATTAAATAGACAAATGACCTAAGAATGATATGATATGGGATAAATTAGGATAGCAGCAAAGAGTTCAGTGCGTGTTGGCAATCTCAGATGGTCCCACTGTAAACTATATTGAAACTAACAGGTGGTCAATATCATGAGTACCCTCAAATCAAAAACATATCCAGTGATCTTTACTAATTTTATTAATACATATAGGTTTAATTTTTAATGTCTTCAAATTTTACTTATAATTATTTTAATGGTTATTTTTTATATTTTTTTTTCAATTGACACAAAATATTTGTGCATATTTGTGGGGGTATAGTGTGACTTTCAATAAATGTAAATAATGTGTAATGATCAGATAGGAGTAATTGGCATTAATCATTTCTTTGCGCTGGAAACATTCAAAATCCTTTCTATTAGCTATTTGGAAATAGTTAATTAATTGCTGTTAACTATAGTTAACCTATATAAAACGTTATATAGGTGTTATCAAGCTCCACTCCTGTTCTGATTAACCACCCTCTCTTCATCTCCATCTCCCCCCACAACTTTCTCTGTCCCTAGTAACAACTATTCTATTCTCTGTTTTTAGCTTTCATAAATAAGTGAGACTATCTGGCATTTGTCTTTCTGTGTCTGTATAACTATAAATCTCATAAAGCTTTCCTACTTTACATTGGAAGCAGCAATAACACAGATTCATAGATCTTACATTATTTGATATTTAATTATCAAGAACCTATTAAGTGTAAGAGTCTATGCTAATCTTTGGACTACAGCAGTAGCCAAAACAGAAAACTCCTGGTGTCCTTACAGGGCTTCCATTCTAGAAAAGGGGGGCAGTGGAGGTAGTGAACAAGGAATATAAAAATTAAGTAAATCTTAAGTAGAGAGTAATTAGAACTACAGAAAAAGAGAAAGTACAGTAACATCCAATGTGGAGTGGGGATGAGCAGACTATAGCATTAAAAGTGAGGTTAAAGTAAGTGTGGTTGAGAAGGTAACATGTGAGCAATTAACTTAAAGGAGGTGAGAGGGTTAGCCAGAGGCATACTGGGGAATGGTGCTCTAGGCAGAGGAACTGGGTAGAGCAGGCTTTCTAAGATGGGAATAGGACTGCACCCTGAGAGACTATTTTCAGGATTTGTACCAGGGAATAATATGTGCCAGGCAAACTCAAAGTGTTTAATGTGTACATGTAACCCCCAAATAACCTTATGACATCAGTGTAATTGTAAATTCTTTTCTAACAAGTGAGAAACTTAAGCACAAAGAAGTTGAAAGATCATACCATTTTGAATTGGTAGAATTAGGATCCAGTTCTCAGAGTCTGATTCCACAGGAGCACTGGATAGTTAGAGCTTTAGATGTGATTTGAACAGGCCACACATGTGCATTCATGCTCACAGGTCTGCAGACACACCCACACGCCCACAGTGCTGTGTACACACTCAGTGGAAGAGAGCTGACAGGGGAGAGGAAGACAGTCTGTTGTCCACATTCTATTCCTCCTATTTCATGTTGGATATTTTTTTATTTTGTAAATTTCACTTCTTAACCTTCAGATTGAAATGTTTATGTGAAAGATGTTTAAATTGTTTGAAAACAACTGGAGTTATTTTCAGAATAGCAAAACTAAATTAAAAATTCTTATTGTGTAACATAAATATTATGGAGATATATACAATTTATTTTAAATAAAGAGAACAAAACCAAAGTGCTCTCACTGAAATGAAACAAAGTGCCCTAAGAAATTCTTATTAATCTACAGAAAAAATATGAGAACATTTTCCAAAAAAAATACAACAAGCTTTCATCTAAACTATTTACTTTGGAGAAATCAATACAAAGGCATCATAAATCATGATTTATGACTCATGCCTCCAGAAAATGAAGATAAATGTGTCACTGAGATATTTTTCTGCATTAATCTCTTGGTTTTAACACAAAAATACTACATTTCTTTCCCATACATATTATCACTATGAACTTTTGAAAAATTCTTTAATTATATTGTTACAGATAATTCTACATAAATTATAATTCTTGGACTAATTCAGTATACACCAAATATATATGAATGAGACTATATATTAATACCTGAAATATAACATTCTTCAAAATGTGTAATAAATTGTATAAAAACTGACTTTGAATTCCTTTATATCAGGGTCATGAGTACTGCATTCAGTAAAGTGAGCACCACACAAATGTATTAAATATCAGTTAAAAAGCAGCTTAATCCTATTTATTCGAAGAAAAATTATCCAAATGTTTAGTTCTACCTTAAAGTATATTGATGAAAAGAATACTTTTCATAAAATCTTGCAATAAAAACAAAATATCTTTCCCTAAAATACTGTAAAGTCTGTAACTATAATATTTTAAAATATCCTACAATTTCATAATAGCCAGAGAGATAGGAAAGGAAACCTTTCCTCCAAATGTCATAATTACCAGGAAATTTTGAACAAGAAAATCTGGACAAAAAATTCTTTATGACAGATAAAGAAACAGTGAGGTAAAGTACCTCCCAATGATGTTCCATAGCACTTCCAGCATCAACATGATTTGTAGAAAATTACTTTACTTAAGTTATTTCTTCAGTTACTTTTCTTGCCTCTTATCCATTTGAATTGCTTAAACCAAACTCTATGAAATATTATTTAGAGAACTTTTCAAAATTTAGGTATCTTTATACCAAAAACACACATATACATAGTAAATATGAAATGGTGTTTCCTGTTTTGTCTTCTTGATTACTGAGGTTCAAGGAACTTACATTAACAAGTTTTTAAAATTTGACTCTGGTACAATTTTTCTTGACATCACAGAAAGTCAAGATAAGACTGGAAGGCTATCTGAATTCCTGAACAATGATAACCATCTCCCAACACTCCAGGGACTTTATACTACATACTATGTTTGTGCTAAGAATATGATCATTTTTCATAGATTTAAAACTTACCAATTAATAAAAATTTCCCAAAGAGAATAAAACTTACATATGAATATAGAGAAAGAAATAGTACTTGATATAAAGTAGCAAACAAATTCTAATGAGAGCTGAGTGACAGGTTAAAAGAGAAGGTGATTTCTCAATGGTTGAAGAATTGCAATAAGTGTAAGGTGGTCTGTGCATTTTGGAATTTTAGTTTTGGGGTTGAAATTTATTACCAAAAACAAATTCAGGGTAAATGGAGTATTACTAGGTTTTATGCTTGGATTCTAAGATGAAAAAAACTTAAATGTTTACATGTTTCCACTATATGTATAATTTTTAAAGATGATGAAAAGCATCTTTACATCCTCCATCCTTAATATTCATTCATATTTATGCAATAGTGTTAATTTTAACAATGTCCTAGCCATTGCTCATAAACAAATGCTCTGATTTGCATAAAATTGGTTAACTTACATTTCATTTTATGGTCATTTTTTTTGATGTGTCCATTAGGTTAGGCTACAGTTCCATTTATTCTATCAGACAATAAAGTCTGTTGGGATATTCCATCAGACAATACAGGGTGTTGCTTTGAAGATATTTTGGGGATGTGATTAAAGTTCATAATCAGTTGACCTTAAGTAAAGAAGATTATCTTACATAACTGGAATGCTCTGGAGTCAATTTGGTGAAAGGTTCTAGAAGTTGAACTGAAGCTTCCTTGAGAGAAGAAATTTTGCCTTGTGTTCAGCAGTTTCAGTTCATGACAAGAAAAATTTAACTAGCCCTTCCAGTTGGGTTGTCTGTCAGATTTCAAACTTATTTATCCAGTCCTGACAACAATGAACCCTAATTCTAAACAATAAATCTATTTAACTCTTATTGTTTTTTTTTTCCTGATGAATACCGATTGATAAAATTCCAAAATTCCAAATTGAGGGGAAAAAAGTAAGGTTAGTAAGTTGCAAAGATTTCTGAGCACCCCACCCTAGGCTGTGTTTACATGTGCCAAGAGACTCAAATCAGACAGACATACATGTTTGTTTATATAAATACCCATTGTCTGTCTCTCTGTCTCTCTCTGTCTCTCTCTTTCTCTCTCTCTCTCTCTCTCTCTCTCTCTCTCTCTCACACACACACACACACACACACACACAAACACACACACATACTCTTAAATTAAAAACAGTAGGTTTCCACATGGTCAAATTCATATGTTTAACAGATCTGACATTTATGACAGATTTAATCAGTCAGAAGCATCAACAAAAGATAACTACGCAACAGGAGACCAGAACTCAGAGCACATTCTAAATAATAAAGTGATTTATAGAAGGAAGTAGCCATGCGACATTACTTACACCAAAGACATTTCACACAGTTTGATACAGAGCAACAATTATTTTAAGAAAACAAACAAAAATGTTTCTCCTAAAGGATAATAGATATTGCTTTTCCAACCAAAAAAAAAAGGAAAAGAGTTGTTTTAACTTTTATAATATTAGTTAAATATTTCCATCACTCTAAAAACCTACATCAGTAAATTTTTGAAGTTGACAAAAAATAACTTACAAAACTCAAGTTTATCTAGACAAGCTAATTTTCCCTGCATTCTCTGCTACCCTTCCTTACCTGGACTGCATATCTTGTTGGGTTTTGGCCTGATTGGCTTCCGACTGAGGCGAAGTGTGAGTGACTCTCTGCTGAAGTTCCACCAAGGACTGGTAGTACTGTTGTTGATGGTGTTGTTGCTGTTTGTAGCGAGACAAACTAAAAAACAGTCCTAGAATGGCTTTTAGGTTTCCATTTCTTATTTCTGTAGCAAATGGAAAATACAAAAAACAGTATCATATATTGAATATATTCTTTAACAAATGAAATTCTAGATGCAATCCTCTTAAACCAAATCTATGAAGACAGAACTATGACTTCATTGTCTTGGTCACAGTGTCAAAGGAATCTGGATTTCTGGGAACATGCTGACATTCCCAAGTAGCTAGGAATTTCAGGAAGAGAATGAAGGTATGAAGGAAGAGAGAACAAAACTCACCTAACAGAAATGCTGTTTTATCTGACCCTGAACTACAATTTTCCTAGAGTTAACTTCTTGGAAATGGATGTGCTTGCTCTCTTGTGCTAATCATTTGATTTAGTGCTCTGATTTCTTCACAAATAAATACACACAGCTGTTCCCAACATTGCAATGACTATGAACTGAAGAAAACAAACTACTTAAATTTTGTTTATCTTACATTTATAAATACTTATGGTGTGGGTATGCCTTAGTTGGATTTAGAGTAGCCAACATTCTTTCTAAATTACCCACTGATCAATTTATTTTACATATGTACATATGTCCATATCTTCCAAATTTACATATATAATTAACAAAAGACTATACTGTATCAATTTTAAAGTTCCAATCTATTTTAATTCATGTTATATATTATTAAATAATAAATATCAGCTTATGTCACACTAAATAACAAAAATGAATAAATATAAGTAGAAATCTAGTTCTAACATGAAGGGCAGATATTGAGTAATAACATTTTGAATAATGATTAAATTTACAAAGTCAGCTACAACATGAGCCTACTTTTTTCTTCTGCATTTATAATGTAACAATTAGAAAGAGAAGTAAGAAAAACTTCAAATAAAACTATATAACCTCTTATCATATTTTAAATAAAATTGCTATCGTCAATAAAACACATCTACCTCCTTGGTCAAGAGTTTAGGAGCACTAACAGGCTATTTGGGTTTCTTGATCTTCTGATTGTTTATTTGTTCACCCAAATGATGCAGTGGGAAGAGTCCTGTAAAATGTGCCACTGAACTGTTCTTTTACTCTCCAGTGCCCCCTCTGTTTCCATAATATAGAAAAGTTGTCTTCATCAATCTGAAGATATAGTGAGAAACTATTAATCTTACCCTATAAACCTCAATGATCTTGCTTGCAGAGTTTTTAAGAAAATTCATTGCTATTATGCATTTTTAATTCAGAACATCATTTTGGAGCATCATATAATTTTAAAAGACAAGTGGTAGTAACCTTATATTGATAAAGGTTATCATGTGAAAAGGCAGAGACATAAAATGAACATTGGCAGCATTTATAGCCTGCCTTTACCCACTTAGAAAGCAAAACATTTTCCTGGGAAATTTTATTCAATTATTATTCTAAGTAACAGAGTCACCAGTTAGGTTTACACCTAAGCTTACTGGCCATAAATCTATAGTTTAATTATGTAGCATAGCATATAAATATGAAAGAAACTTACAGGAAAATTAAATACAGAAGGGAAACTGAACAAAGTAACTAACTAGTAAATGTCCATTATTTCAGAAGCATACAACTTCTCTTATTCTAATGACAACAAAATTATAAAAACTTAAAATGGTCTAATATTTCTAATAATGCTGGCAAAAGCTTTTCAAAGCAAATTAATGGTAGTGAAAGCTGAACTATTAAAGTGTTTAGTAGTATCTAAATCATAACTTTAAATACATAAATCATATTCTAACTAAAAATTACTATTCTTGATGCAGGTTCCAAAAGGACTTGCTATTTCATAATCTCAACAACTGATTTTTACTAACAGCATTTGAATATTTTGCAAAGGTCTACTAAAACTTACCAAATTTTGTATTTTACTTAGTACTTTTATCATTAGTAATTCAAATAGACAAAAAGCTTATAACACTTTAATACACCTGACACATAAGATTTAAAGTGACAAATGACTAGATGGAATAAATATTGATGAAGAATAAAATGACAGATGATGGAGGGAAGGAGATAGAAACATCATTTATTTTCAATTGTGGCAGTTTTTCTAATGTATGCTAACTTTTTACAAAATTTTGCCACTTCTATATGTGGAAGAAAAAGAGGCTCTAAAACAAAGAAATAATCACAAGAGTAATTCAATCTCTTTCCACTTTGATATATTTCAATTTTTGTGATGATTTTTCAAATCTCTAATGATTTTTAAATGTTTACATATAATAGTGGTTAAAACTATTCCTATAATCATTTAAGACTCATGGTGACTTATTTAAACTTGAAAATGTTTGGCTATGACTACTAACTTGATTATACTATAGAAATGTTACTGATAAAATCATATTTGAGTTTTATTTACACTATTTTACCTGCATTTATGTCCATTTGTTACCCAACATGGATCTAGCCATCTATTCATCTACTTAGTAATCTAAAAATATTCAACATTAGTTATTACACATAGGCTGTGTTGATTCACCCCCATCCCATGAACACAGTCACAATAACAAAAGTTATTCTGGAAAACATTTAAGTGATTAAAATATATATTAATTACCATTATGTTCATATTTCTGTTATTTTGGAAATATATAAGTTTCCTTTAGCATGTGAAGGAGTTATATATTCCAAGATTATATTTCTTACATTACAAAAACTCTTAGATAACAATAATGCCACTTGTGACTACATAGTACTTTTCCTTACCTTCAGCAGAAAGACCTTGAACATTTACTCCTCTAGCTGCTAGAAAACTAAGGCAGACATCAACATTTTCAATCTGCAACATGAAAAGCAGTGAAAAAGGCAATTTAGAAGGTTGTTTTTGAATAAAAACATGAGTTAGAATGAAACCAGAAAGAAAGATAAAGAATGGATACTTTACATTCATTTCATTCTAGAGATCTCTTTACCAGAGTTTAACTAGAATTATTTTGGCTAATTACAGAGTGAATATAAAGCCTTCATTGTCCAGTTTGACAACTACAAACAATTCATAAGGGCCTGGTCAAGAATGGCATTTTGGTAGAGTAGCAACCCACCTACTTAACATAAAGCCAGATTTTGTGCTTTAATGAGTGTCAATGAAAAATCTCCAAATGGGATGAGATTGCCATATGTGTCTCAGAATGTTAGGACAGTAGTAACAGAGTTCAGCCAGTAATACTGTTAAGGATTCCAAAAGAATATTGAAAAATAGACAAGTGGAAAAACAGTTGTTAAAATGAAAGAAATGAGGCACATTTTCATTCTAAACCACAGAAAATCTTTATTTCAGAACTTGTATTTATATTTCTACAAAACTGAATAATCCTATAGTAAATAAAGGTATTAACTTTTCCATCTTAAAAGGGTGATATCCATACTTGTTAAAAAAATAATTATTGGTACATTAAAATTATACAAGGTCATGGGATTCATTATGCAATATTTGTATATTCACATAATATATTTTGTTATATTCTCATTCTTCAGTACCATCCCTTTCCCTCTGATAACCATTTAGGGTGAGGGGAAAGGAAAGGAAGAAAAAATGACTGACTTATTTTATAAGTAAGAGGCTGATCTTAATATTGGCCATGGAGTTACACAACTAAAAGACTTTTATAAAAGTACAGAAAGCTAGAAAATTCCATATCTTTGTGAGCCTTTAAAAAAACTATTCCATGAATCTTGGAATTCTAAAGTAAATAAGAAATTTAAAGTTAATAAATTAGGAAGGTATTAACTTCTGTCTTATTAAGCTCTTATCAAAGGCCAAGCATGAAGACATTTAACGTTCTGCCAGTGTCCACTTTAACTTAGAGTCATAGTAAGGTCAAAACATTTCTTTAAAAACTCAAAAGGAAAGATAAATTTATACATTTATATGAAATCCATCCTTATAAAATGAACAAACCATATTCCTTTTTAAGTGTAATTTTGCAAAAAATTAATGTAATAGTCAATGAGATATCCTGTGATTGAAAATGGACACAGCCAAGGTATACACATTTCCTTTGAGGTAAAAAAGATTTTTATATTAATTCACTTCGTTTTACTGCTATCTTTCTACTGAAAAAAAATAATAGAGTTGAATGTGCTGGTAACAATACAGCCTAATGAATTTTATCTGCCTATTAGTATCTGAATATCCAGCAAGGCTATAATGTTGAAATACACATCAAATCCTCTTTTTTGTTCTCAGTTCACTTTGCTACTAGAAAATAATTAAATAAGAAATAAAAGGAGGAGCAAAGAGAAGAGGAAATGGATGAAACTGCACGTCCTATATCCATCCAGAGCAGTCTTTTAATTCTTCAAGTCCATTTAAGTTTTTAAATAACAAGTGTTGATTGTGACTTAATATTGAAAAAAATGGATAAATATTTTTAAATGTTTGAAATAACAGTCCTGATGTTATTAATTTCATAGCAATTAGAAGTCTTTTGTAGAAAATAGAAAAAATTCTGACTTAAATATGCCATTTACTGAAAAATATTAACAGGATGTTATCTCCTAAATTTGAATTACTTTTATGGTAGATGAGCAGGTTAGTTGGGTGGGACATCCACAAAATACTAATAAATAGAGCCTTTAAGTTTGTAAGATACATTTTTCAGTCTACTTTTTAGTCAGCATATGAAATAGACTGATATCTAGATTGGGTTTTAAAAACACGTGGCACTACATCAACATGAACCACAATTAGAAAAGAACCCTGGGGCTGGGGCTGGGGCTGGGGCTCAGTGATAGAGTGCTTGCCTGGCATGCGTGGGGCACTGGGTCCCATCCTCAGCACCACGAAGAAATAAAAGTATTGTGTTCATCTACAACTAAAAATATGTATATATATTTTAAAAAGAATTTTATAGCACACTTTTTTATATCTCTGTATATAAAGTATGTTCACACCAATTCACGTCTTCATACATGCACTTTGGATAATGATGTCCATCACATTCCACCATCATTTCTAACTCCCTGCCCCCTCTCTTCCCCTCCCACCCCTCTCCCCTATCTAGAGTTCATCTATTCCTCCCATGCTCCCTCTCCCTACCCCATTATGAATCAGTCACCTTATATCAGAGAAAACATACAAAACCCAAATAGAGAAAAGTAAAAAGCAGTCCTAATTCTTTACAAGACTATTTCTCAGGAGCATTCACCTTTTTTCCTCTATATCATTCATTATGAGCACCAGCAACCTAAAATAGTTCTATCAGGTCTCCATTATGACTATGATAGCTAAGTAATAGCAACAGAATAAATATTTGAATATTGTTTCTAATATATCAACTAAAGGCTAATTTATTTAAAACTCATTTACTTATTCAATAATATTGTCCCAGGCCTAAATGAATTTTCTAATAATATAGTAGTATAATAAACATAACTTTAAGATCTTTTCCCTGATTAATTTCAGTCCTATAAATTGAATCACACTTGTTAGTATTATGCTACATTTTTTACAAAATCAAAATATATTACAGTATAAAGAAATGGCTTTGAGAAATCTTATTAAATTCCATTTATGTAGTCAGTTTCCTCACCACAGGCATACTTGAAAATAATTTGAGTGGAATTTGTAACTATATGATATCATGCTTTAGTTACTGATTATTTTTACTTTAATAAATTCTAGAGATGATCTTTTTATTCCTGCTGTTTTTAAATACATCATCCTTAAATATATTCCAGTTAAATAGACCTACTATAAATATTGTTTTGATTACTTTTTTCCATATGAACTCACAAATGTTCTTTGAACTACAAACCTCTTAACTTTTGGGGAAACTTACAAAGTGATATTTTCTACTACATTATATTAGCTTCTGCTAAATCTATTTAAGTGTTGATTAAGAATTGCTAGATGGACTTTCAGGGTCCATTAATGGATGGTAAGTCACAATTGGAAAAACATTTCCCTAAAGAAAACCAGAGCATTGCCATGGCTATGTTGCCTCTTTTTATGTGGGGAGATTATATTCAGTAGCTAATAACTAGCAAATCATGCTCAGAAGCAAAGTCTCTCCAAGATTTAATTAAATTAGATACTTAATGAACAATATTTAAAATACAGGCTATATAATTATGGTTAACTTTTACATGTCCCCATATCTAGTACCTGAACAAGACATTTACTACTTCTTTCAGCCCCCTTTAATTTGTCTAGATACACAAATAAAGGAAAGAATTGAGTTCTAATGTAATTTAGTCCTTAATAAGCAACCAAATATTTGTCCAAATTTAAACTATTTCAAAATAACTAGGTTATTTGACAAAGTTATTCTTTTCTTGATCTCCTCCTCACTCCCCCTATTTAGTTTGTGAGCATGTAGAGTTGTATGCCAAGCTCTCATAGGTATGCTTACTTATTTGTTCAGGTAGTTTTGATTTTATGAAGACGTAAGCTTGAGACCTTCAGTCTCTGGAAAATGGGAACCATGTTTTATTGATCCAGATTCTATAATATAACATGAATTTGATAGTATTCAAAAACAATTTCTGATCTTTGGCTGTTGTAAGTCAGGGAAGAAAATATCTTTATTCTGGAAAAGAAAAGTTGATAATGACAGTAGAAAGCCAAAACCCACTGATAACAGGCAAACAGCTGAGAAATAGAAATGTCAAAGGATTAATCAAATTTGGGTGAGCTAACAAAACATGTAGACATACCAATATTCCACAAATACTGAAACTATGTATGAAAGGAACTTGCTCCTAATATATTTTAAGCTTAAAAAAGTAATTTCAAAGAATTCACATAACTGCAGAGCCTATGGAATTCTCACAAGACCCTTTCAATATAAATAATGAGATGGCATGCAGATAATAAATGTCATTACTTAGAAGATTCAGTGAAATTGTACATGGAAAGCATACAGCATGATACACTGCCTATAGAACAAAATGACTCAAGAAACAAGAAATGAATTATGATTATGTATGTCATTAATACTAATAGTTAGTGGCTATGGTATAAAAGCCCACCTCTTTTGCTTTAGGCCTTATGTCAACCTGCCTAAGAACTGTACATGTTGCATTAACCCTGCTAACCCATATTTTTAATCCAGAGATTCTTAATCTTTGTTGTACATAAGAATAAATAGCATAACTTTAAAATCCACAGATGCCCAATTTATATTCCTATCAGTTCAAACAAAATGCCAATATATAGGAGCCAGTTTCACTTCCTGGGTGATTTCAACTCCCCCAAAATCTTGGAAACTACAGCATTAATCTATGCTCTTCAAAATAACTGTATATATTTTCAGTGTACTCCCATATTGATGCAGGAATCCCACTGCTAAGACCTAGCAATACATTGTCTTTGGTTATTTGTGTCATGGTATAACATAAGTTATGCATTTTATACTTTATTCTCATGATATTAAATATATATAAACAAACATATATGTGTGTATATATTTATATATAAAAGGATATACATACATATATACATACAAAGAGAGATATTTATGTAATTTTTAAAAGTGTACAGCAGTAGTACAAAGAAATTTATTCTGAGTTCTGTAGGCACCACATTCTTCATTTGGCTCAGGTTATAGTCACATTGTAGCTTTTGAACAGTCACTCCAAAACTCTTGCTTGTCTACTGTTAAGTTAAGCATAATTTTTTGAGTCCTGTCTTCTATTTGTGACTTTCCTTTTTTTTTTCTTTTTCTTTTTTGGAATGGAACACCTACTTTCCCTCTCTGTTTCATGTTAAATTTAATTATAATTAGGTAACTATGAAAACACTGATATAATGAAAATAGAATAAAGCATCACTAGTTC